AAAATGAAATTGAGTAATTAAGATAAAAGCTTAAGTAATACGTTGAGAACAAGAAAAATCAAGATTAAAAATCTAATAATAAATAAAATGAGTATTTAAAGTAATTAGAAACTGAAAATTTTGATTATTAATAAGAAATATAATCTTTGAGAATTGAGATTAAAAGATAATAGGAATAAAATAACTTGATAAAATAATAAATAAATGATCAAGATATTAATTTATAATCTGGATAAGTTGATACTGAAGTAAATATTGAAGAATATTAATAATAGATTGAAGTCTTACAAAATGAAATCAATATTTAATAGAGTTAAATATACTAACTATAAAATCAATTAAAATAATCAAAAATTAAAGAGCTAGAATTAGAATAAAAATTAAAATATGCAGTTGAAGATTTAGAGCATGCTTCAGAACTTCAATAACAATAACAATAATAATAATAATAATAATAATAACAATAGCAATAATAATAATAATAATAATAATAATCAACATTAGAATAAAACAATCAATTTGATGATTAATATAGAAAAATTTTATATGAACTTAGCTTGATTAAATCATAAAATTCATCTTTGTAAGCATAATTATAGGAGTCTACAAAAACTTAAGTTAGATTAATGTAGGAGATAAAAGAATTATAAATTTAAAATGAAAGATTAAATATAAGCAATGTTAGACTACATAATGAACAAATAAAGATTACAGATCAGGATAATTAAGTAAATAGATTAAATGACTTATATAAAGAGTTATAAATTGAAAACTAGAAATTGAGAAGTGAAATCTTATACCTGCAATAAGAAAAGTAATAAATAATTAATTCATTTGAATCAAAATTATAATAATATTCAGCAAGTGCTAATAGCAAAATTAGGTAATAGTAGATTGAAGATTTGAAACGAGAGTTAGCTTAATTAAAGAGAGCCACATTAAAGTCTTCTGGGGTCGATATAGAGGCAGAAAGGTTAACCTACTCAACTTAAATAACTTAATTGAAGAAACAACTTGAATATGAGTAGATAAAGAATAAAGAGTTGTTGTAAAAGCTTCAAAGTTCTTCATAATATTAAGTAAGAAATATAATTTATTCTAGTCTGATTTTGGACTTGTAGAGAGATTGAACAAAGAGTTGTAAGATAAAATTGTTGAATTACACCAAGTTAAATCAGAGTATAAGAATGCTATATAAATGATCCATTCATTAGAAGAATAAGTAATAGAGAGAATGGAAAAAGAATAATATTCTTGAAATATTTATAGACTGTTATAATAGTGATTTATAAAGAATAAATAATATTTTCATTTTTATATTTATTGATGTTGTTGCCTGATAATCTATAGTCGCTATTATGATTATGATGGACTAATGGATGTATTGGTAACATTATTCAAAATTTATTGTTTCGAGTTAGATTAGATAAGTTTTGGTTATTGCAATATTTTAGAATTTGGAGATTTTTTTTGGACTACAACTTCACATTTATCAGCAGATTATAAACAAATTTATTTCAATTTGTTTTTAATTTAAGTAGAAGAATTTGTATTACTATTTTGAGGTTGCTTTGAATTACTATTATGTAATGTTGCTGTGGCTGTTTTATTAACGCTTTTTTCTATATTGACAGTTGAATTGCTCTTCATAAAGGCACTTTTAGCAAACTATTGATTTAAGAACTATTATTGGCTTTACTATTTTTTTAATGCATCAGATCTATTGCTCTAAAGGTTTTGTATAAGAGATTTTTATTTGTTAACTAGAGTCAAAATTTTGTTCAGGTCTAAATTTTATTTATATAATAAGTCTCTATATTAAGAGACTGGATATTGTTTATCATCTTGTAATTTTAGCATTAATTATCCTTTAAATGTAATTTCCTCTTTTGGATTATAAAATTCCTTAAGATAAGGATGCTTTAAAGCATCTTGTACACATATTCTCTTGTTTGGATCATAGACTAAGAGTTTTTTGATGAGATCTAATTCATCATCATCACAATTCAAAATTACTTTCAAGTTAGACTTATAATTTCTAGGATATTTATCAAATAATTAATTCTAACCTCCTAAACTTTAAATTTCCTCTGCTGTTGGTATGCCTAGAACTTCAATTATCTTTTCCAATTGATTTATTGTAGAAATCCCTGAGAACAAAGCCTTCCCAAGTATCATTTCTCCAATCATGCAACCAATAGACCACATATCAACTCCAAACGAATATGATTTTGATCCTAATAAAATTTCAGGAGCTCTGAACCACCTCGTTGCCACATAATCTGTTAATATATCTTATTCTAATGTGCAAACCATCCTGGCTAATCCAAAATCTGCTAATTTTATTTTGCATTCTGAGTCTAATAAAATGTTTGCAGGCTTTAAATCTCTAGATAGTTATAAAATAGAATTAATACCTGTGTATCATCCCTGAAGAATGAATATATTTCAGAGCTTTAAATAACTAATATATGATATATCTTCTGTGAAGAGGTTGTAAGATTTTGGCTCGAATGGCAACGTGAAGATCAGTTTCCATATATTCAAAAATCAAATAAATGTCATTTTGATTTTCTGCAGGAAATGTATCAATTAATTGAATTATATTAGGATGATTAAGTTGCTTTAAAAAGCTAACCTAGAATAAAAATTTATTTATACTTCTCTATACGTTCGTTAGGCATCAGTTGGATTACTAAAAGCATCAAACACTTTCTTTAAAGCAACTATACGCTGAGATTTTATATCTCTTGCCTTCCAAACTATTCCATATGCACCTTTTCCTATCTTATTCATTATTTCATATTTCTTTAAAATATTAGTATCAATTTTTTCACTCATAATTTAATAATTTTTATATTTTATTTTCTTTCAAATTATAACAACTCATATCAAAAATTAGTTATAAAATATAAATATCAGAATCTCGTCTAACTTAAATTTTAGAATATTACAAATAAATGAACTATCATTGCGAATAAATTTAAGGGAAATAATGAGACTTCAAATGAGTAACAATAAATTCTATTTTATAATATATTTTAATATAAAACTTAACAACCCGAATTTCATAAGAGTGCTAACTTTTGTGAATTTTACATTCTTTAATTTTTTGGTACACAAATATCAAAATTATAAACACCCTATATCACTGTTAACACGATAATTTAAATTTTTTTTGAATAAATCTCTAGAAAAAACCACCTTCAAAATAACTGATATTTTATAGAAGTTTGCAATGCAGTTTTACTTCAAATTCAAATTTCAATTAATATATTGAAGTTTAGGAGTTTATTATTTTTAGGATTTTTTCAATTTAGGAGTTATATCAAATTAAATGTAGAGTATTTTGTTAACAAATGAATAGATATATAACTCGATATAAAAATAATCAAGAAAGAACTCATTTAGAGTGATTTTTAATGTATTGGTTCAGAATTTAAGTTCTTGTTTACTTTAGAAGAGACTCCATCTGAGTGATGATTGTTTTTAGTCTTTAACATTGTTAAAGTTTCAAAAAATCACTGTTTGTGATACGAGGTTTTGATCTTTTGCCTTATGAAACATCTGTTTCAGAATCAGCCTTTTTTACTTTTTTTGATTTTCTGTTAATTAGTTTAGATTTTTTTTTTGGAGCTTCTTCAGCAAAATTAAATAAAAGGACAGGCTCCTCTTATAAATATCCATCAAAAGTTATTAGTTACTCTGGTTCGTGTTATATGCTTTGATCATAATCGAAGTACATTTATTATTATGATGATTCTGCTAATGGTTCTTCAACTAATTCTAGGAATTATAAAAAGGAATACCTTATTAATATTAGTCTTCAAAATCTATCGAGTAGAAATTCATTGGTAATTATGAATTGTTTTTATTATTTATTAGAAATTTTGTGATTTCAACTTAAAAGTGAATTGCGTTTATTGTGAAATATATATTTCAGTTTATTTATCTTGGTGGGATGAATGATATATAAAATTTATAATAGTTCAAAAATCTAGAGGATAAGAGTCATTAATTATTAATAAACCAACAAGACTATACTATAAATATTAATAGATGACTTCAAAAATAAAATTTTATTTTTTATATTTAAATATCTTTATTATAGTATTATATAATAGTTCAATTTTAAATCTTTCCATTAAACTAATAATAAGTCTTATTTTTTATGTATTAAAACCCTTAATTGATAAGAATTCGATGAAATTATTATGTTGATTATATTAAATGGCGATAAAAATTTTAAATAGTTATATATTAAGGAACTATCTCTATGCAAATTCGAATTTAAGTGGGATTTTCGTCTTTTATATAGGATATATCAAATGTTATGCAGAGAATGAATTATAATTATAATTTATAGACATCTGCACTAATTTCACTTTTAAAAAGAAGGAACTATCATTATTTATATACAATTATACTTTATGAAATATGAGAGAACTTATTATAACTTGGTTTGTTATTAGGCATAAAGTTAATTATAGGTATCACCTAAAATATTATTCTAATTAATCATTTTCAAATCAATTGATATACATACTATAATTATAGTTTATAATAAAACTATTATACAAGTTTTAATTGATTTTATAGAAAGCATATTATATTTGTCAGAATTTTAAGGAACTAAATTTGAATAATTGAGGAATTTTTTTAGATTATTCATTTTTAGTAGCTATATTTAATTCTAATAATGATACAAAATTTATAAAAAAATGGTTTTATAATTGAATGAATTTCAGAGAATTAGAAATACATTTAAGGTATTTTTACCCAGCAACTATAAGTATAATACATTATACGTAGATTCTATTATTAATTGAAATGACAATCTTATAAAAATTCATTTCATTATTTATCTAAATTTCTCGTGGTTTATATTTAAATCCAGATGCTAAATATAGATGAATAGAATATTTAAGAATTGAATTTCTTTATTTATGAATTCATTTGTAAAATTTGATTAGTTTATATTCGAAATATGTAATTAAAATTCATCTATCAAGTTGTGTTCTTTGTAATAAATTTGTAAAAGTAGGAATGTTTTTAAGTTTATCAGATTTTTTTTCATTTTTCTCTTTATAATTGTTAGTTTAAAAAATTTCTTATGAAAATTTATTCATGATAATTAGATATTCTTCAGTAATTGATTCCATTGATTCGTGCTAATGATTTTGAGAATTTAATTATTTCTGTGAATTATTGTATAGCGATTTATGATTTTATAAGTTTTCCATTTTTTACACAATTAATTTTAATGAGTTAAGAAAATAAAGAAGAAATAATTAATCATATTTTAAAAGCCACAACATTTTGCTCAAAGAAGTGTGAAACATTAAAAGTCGATTAATTTAAAGGAAAAGAGACAGAATGCTTAAGTATTATGATTCAATATTTAATTTAGTTTAATGTGGTTATGGTTTTGCAGCCTCAATTCATTATTAAGGATAATTCATGAAATATTTAATGGAGCAAACTGAAGGCATGGAAGAATGAATATTATTTCTTAAAAAATTAATATAATTATCCTATAAACTTAAAAAAAATATATAACTTGAATTTAGATCTAAAAGTATCTCAGAAAAGAATATTATACAATAGAAATTAAAAATTAGATAGCAAAAGAATAAGAATTATTTAAATAAATAAGGAGCTCAAATATATAGAAAGTAGGGATTAAATTATTAATTGTATGTTAAGATTAGAATAGCTTTATAGAGGGTCTAAATAATCTAAATTTGAGAAGACATGAAATCTATAGTTTTATTATATAATTAGATTAAAAGCTGTGAAATATGAGATAGATCATCGGTCAGTTTTCGAGCTGGAAGGGAAAAAGTTTCTTGAATAATTTGGACTTGATTAAGTTTTTTGATGAGATTTACTGTGTGCACTTTATTTGGGTGTTGGACTGAGATTAGATGCAGTTGATTGGTTGGAATTAAATTATTTTCTGTACCAAAGATTTACATCCAAAGTATCATCTTCAATCATGGATGTAATTAACTATAAAGCCTAATAACTGCTTAATCTTTCGAGAGGATTTTATTGAAGAAAAGTTCTGGCTAAATCAAAGAGTCTTCCTTATTCTTTAATGAAATATAAACAATTTCTGTTTTTTCTTAAAACTTCAGCCGATGTATCTGCATCGAAAAGACCTTTAGATGTCAACATTTTGTATAAAACACATCCTGCACTAAAAACATCAACTTTGTAATCGTAGGTTATTTTATGATCAAAATTTTGTAAAATTTCAGGAGCACAAAAACCTGATGTTCCACATTTAGGATGCTCTTAAAATTAATTACTAATAAAGCAAGATAATCCAAAGTCAATTATTTTCAACATTCCATTTTTAGTAATCATGAGATTTGCAGGTTTGATGTCTCTATGTATTATGCCCATGTGATGAATATAAGTGAGTCCTTCAAATAATTACTATTATAAAATTAATTAATACTTTTAACAATTTTAGAATAGTTGATTCTGAGAATTCTGATATTTCTGTGATTTGAGTTTTAAGATTCTTTCCTTCAACAAATTCAGTAACAATAGAGTATGTAAGATTTGTTAGAAAAACTTCCTAAATGGATAAGATATTAGGATGGTTCAGTGTCCTTAGTATGTTTATTTCATTTTCGATTAAATATAACATAGATTTATTAGTGTTAATTAATGTTTTAATAGCAAGCAACTTGCCAGTTATGTAATTTTATTATAATGAAATCTATCATTTAAATAATAATATACTTAACCAAAGGTCCCTGAATCTAAATGTCGTATCAGTTTATAATGTACTGTGAGAGATTTAAAAAAAATTAACTTTCCAAGTGCTTATTTTAATTCATTCATATTTTAGCAATCCCCATTAAACTCTTTCATTCTGTTCTAATAAGGGAATAGGAATCCAACTAATTATTGGTTTCTAACAACCCATTCAAATTGTGTGTCTAAATTCAAAGCTAAACTATATTTCGTTTTCACAAATTGGCTTTCCTATTTATGAATTAAAATTATAATTTACTTGACTCATCAGTATTTAATTCTTTGTTAATTTAAAATAATAGGTTTAATCGCGAAAAAAGTGTTTTCTAAAAACTTAAAAGAGTAGAATTTATTAATCTTTTTCTGTGCAATTAATTTACATTAATATTAATTAACATAAATTCACATCACTACATTTGAATACATTATAATTGATCTATTAAGGAAGAAGAATATCATTAGAATGTTCTAAGTTTTCTTATTTAAATATCCTAATTCATAGAGAATTTCATTGAAATTATAAATAAGAATAGTGAAATGTTCACCAGTATTCTAAAATTATTTTGATAATTTAAAAATTCTTTGAGATTCATTAATGACTATGCGAATATTGTAATCTTTGATGATAATTTGTTATATTATATAAAATTAAAAATTATTTTACACAACATTTGAATAAATTTCTCATTTGTTTCTTCTTCTTGATGCCTAGGCTTATTCTTAAGCTTATTAAACAGTTTCATTTAATTTTTGTGGATCAGCTTGGCCAGTTAGGAAGAAGACAATAAATCCGATAATAATGTACCATTTCTAAGGATAGAGGGGATTCTTACATATTATAATATTAGTCCAAAGATTCCCTGGGGTTTTTGTTGTTCTTCTTCTTCGGGAGTCTTTTCTTCAAATTGTGGTACTAATCCTGATGGGGCTACTTCCAATTCTTTGATGTTGACTTGAATGTAGGTTTCTGCATTTTTCCTTACGGGCTTTAATGCGTAATCAAATGACAATAGATCATTATTGGATAAAACAAAAGTAATGATTTCTTAGTAATTGGATTTCTAATTAAAGAGAGATAATTATTTTCCATCAATATGCGCTATATATGATTTTTCATCTTGTTAATTCTATAATTTCAATAGAGCATAATTATTCTAGATTTAGAGACTGGATATTTACTTCGTTAATTTTTTTGCGATCTACAATTTGTTGTTTATTTTAATTCAAGACAATCTGAGCATTCTAAAAATTGGATCTGGGTATTTTAATATCACCAATTCTTTCCCATGCCTAAGAATTTGAACTTTTTATCAACAAAGCAAAATCAGTCGATTAAGAAAGTGTTGTAAGAGCGAGAGCCAATAATAATGTAAATTACATTTAATTATTCAATATTAAAAAAAAATAAATAAAGTAAACAAATTATACAATTTGTTGTGACGTATTTGTATATAAATGTTCATTACGTAATTTAATATATGAAACTATAAAGCCGTCTTGCTCAACCCATTATTTTTATTAATGAAGCTCCTTTTAGCAATCCTTCTTGTATCTACTGTGTTAGCAGCAATTCCAACAAAAGTGACAAATTGCATAGCCAATCCATCAATTGTTTTTACAGAAGCAACATTTAGTGTTTAACCACAAAAAGGAGTTGATGAAACTATAACCCTTTATGGAACAGCTAATGCTCATGCTGAATTAACTAACGTCCATTTGGTAGCAAAGTGGAATGATGTTGAAGTCATGACAGAAGATTTTCCTGAAGAGGAAATCTATGACAATGGTGACAAAGTCGTATATTCATAGACCAAAAACTTCCCAACATTTACTCCATCAGTAAGATATTAAAGTAATTATAGGGAAAAATAACCACACAATTCTATTTCTAAAATGCTAAAGGAGCAAACTTTGCATGCGCAGAAATAACATTTGTTTTGTGAACATAAATTCACATATCATAATTTAAATTTAATCTATTTCTATAAGAATTCCTTTGATATTTGGTGAAGTCATATTAATAATTATGTGACATAAGTAGAAAATTCAAAAATGAGGATCTTCTTTGATATTCCATTTTTAGGAAAAATTGAATGAACCTTATTGCTGAGTCCTGCTCACTTTACAATTGAGATCGGTATTCAAACTACTGAAGAGACTATACAACTAGTTCGCCTATTATTCATCTAGTTATTAAAGAAATGCCATTAATTGATCTTCCTTGTCTCTATCTTCATCATTTATTATTGAATCTTGAGTATTCATTGAATAAATGGATGATCTTTTACGCTGATTTGCTTCACTTCCTATTTACATGACCTCCTCATTTGCCGTTAAAGGATTGCTAAATTATTATTAACTGGCAGATGGAATTATAGTTGTTTAACGTTTTAATTTTTCAATTTATTCGTTTAATTCATATACTATGATTTCAAGTTGAATATTTCTTTTCAGACATTCATCTCTTTATTTAGTCATTTCTAATAATGCATCAACATAATGATCCGTTTGTTATTTTCTGTTTTGATCATATCTCTTTTTGGCCTCCGATAAAAAACAATCAATTTGCATGATAAACAATTAATCCTAACTTAACTCACTTATTCATACTTTTTTCTATGTCTACTTCATTTCTCCTATTTATCTCAAGGCTTTATGATATCTTTATATAGTTTCATTGTTTTATTCTTTTAATTTCGCAATTTCTATTCTATAATATTCATGGTTCGCCAATAACTTTTGAATTACCTACTCTCATATAAGATATACTTCTTTTAATTATGATTCATTGCATTGTTCATTCAGACTGATTTCTCCTAACTACTATTTTTTTTATTTCATTACAAAAATTTAATATAATAAAATCACAATTATGTTTAAATTTAGATAGAATAAACTATTTGTGAACTTAGAAGTGGATACTATTTTTTATATTATTACAAATTCATCATATAGAATCAATATATTATTAAAGTAACTTAAGTTATTCTTTTATAAATTGCCTGCATTCCTATATAGAAATCTCCTTTTTCTCATTGCATTTGGATATTAGATAATGTATAATTTTATTAGGCATGTCTTGAGGATTAATTAGGTTGACTTTTAATGCTTCATTAATCCATTTCGCATTAGTATTCATAGATTTCACGTCATCCTAATATTGGATATATTCTTGTCTCAGATTCCGATGATGTTTGATCACAATGCTTCTCAACTCTTAAACTAGCTTTTCTTTTTCTTAAAACAATTTAAATTAGTTCAGATAGCTAAGTGCTTCTATAATAATCTCATTTTATGAAAAATATGTATCTACTGAGAATGAATTTAATTCAAAGTTAGTTTATGATAAATAGGATTAGAATTCTTATTGATCAAAGATTCCATAGATTTGTAAGCATTTTTAACATGCATTAGTTACTGAATTGTCATTAATACCTGGCATCCTATATCGAATAGGTTGATGATGCAAAGGACATTCTTCAACTTAAGAATCATTTGATTAAGTAGGTAACTAGAAATTCTGTGTTTATTCACATAGAGGTGATTACTAAACTAGTTAAATATCTGCAAAGACGTATCTATCATTATTTGGGTTTTATGGTATTTCAAAACTGCTTGGACTTTAGAGATAGTATTCAGCAATAGTTTAAATAATCCAATTGAGATCTTTTCTTAATTTAGGGTCCTTTTAGATGCAATTTAGTAACAGACTTTTTATGACATTTTTTTTATGATCAAATATAGTAGCTTGAGCGTATTATTAATCCCTAATAAGATAATTGGTAGTCTTAATTTTAAAGAATACTTCTTCTTCAGACAAGCCATTGTAGAAGGGTGTTTTGTGAAGTAACTCGTCAATTATAAGTCCAAGTGCCCAAACATCAACAGATTTGTCATACTATTATTTATCGAGTATTTCTGGAGCCACGTAATAGGCAGTTCCAACTTTAGTGGTAGTCATTCTATCTAATTTAACGCTGCTTAGACCAAAATCAGTGATTTTATAGATTTCCATACCTTGCTCATCTATTGATCTAAGGATATTTTCTGGTTTGATATCTCTGTGAACTATGTTTTTACTATGTAAGAAGGCCAAGCCATGAGCTACTTGCAGAGCTATGTTAACAATCTATTCCTCTGTAAATGTTTTATTTGACATCATTTCATATAACGTACCGCCCGAACAGTATTCTTGAACTATAAATAAGGCTTCTGGTTAATCGAATATATCCAATAGTTGAACTACATTTTAGTGTCTATATTACGAAAGAGATGTCAGAATCATTTTCTCTTGTTGAGAAATGGCAAGATTTCTATTGCTAATTTTAACAGCGACCTTTTATTTATTCGACTTTTTAACACCCAAATAAACTTAAGCAAAGGCACCTTATCCTAGTAATTGGTTTTTTGTTTCGTAGAAATCTTCATAACGATTCCTCGTCAATTATGGTTAGATCATCTTTATAATAATTATTGAACAATTTCAATTATTTTACATGTGATATATTCATTATACAGTTTATACAGCTAAACGAATAAGATGATCTGTAAATACTTTCAGACTGGCATCATCTGTTATGTAATTACCGCTTTCAACATTTTCGTTTTAGACTGTATTTACAGAGGGATTCACTCTGCTTTTCAAATATCTCTCTTGACCATGTCCAAAGTAAGTTTTGATCAACTTAGGCACTGGGAATCTATCTTCTAGAATATACTAGAGATTATATTAATCATTGATTACTTGGACATCTGAATTGGGAGCATCAATCAACTCTTTAATGTATTCATATTCAGGATTATCATAATAGCCTTCTTCAATCCATTTTTGAACATGTTCTCCATTCCACACAACAACATTGAAGTAAGTATCCAGAAGTAATACCACATCAGGTTTCATACTTTGAATATCCAAATTGACAGCATTAGCAACTGGATCATCGACTGTATATTATAACAAAGCAGGTTGGATCATAACTAAGGCATTTTGTACACACTCTCGAGATAAAGAAGCCTAATGATTAATTTGTAAGTATTTACTCTATAAAAAGTGGTTTCATCAGGTGAAGCACCAAAAGTAGTTATGAAATGAGACCTTCTGAGATGATACATAAATTACGGATACATCATCATTTCTTATGGGAATCTGAATGAACTCACATCGTCTTTACGATATGACCCAAATCTGGCGACAACTCGAATTAGAGACCTGTCCAACCACTTTAAAACTTCAATTGATTCTTCAGATTCTGCTTTCAGAATACCCACCCTTGCCATAGTAACACAAGCAGCCTCTTAATCGAATCCTCTGATCATGTCCATAATATTATTGTGATCTGCAAATCTTCTTTGTATTGTAGTTACTCTCAACCTTTGCAATCTGCTTGAATGTCTATACATTGTAATGAATTGAACGTAAGCAAATTACGAAAAGGAAGTGTCCTTTGTAGATGATAAATCAAACATAAATAATATCGTTGAATTTCTATCCAGTCCACCTGAATACCAACTTGTAGTTCCACCTTCTCCCAGAGAAACATCAGATACCATAGGCCCTCCTTTTTTTAATGAAATGCATGGTCCAACTCCTCCTTAGACCTTGATGTCTTTTGATAAAAACATATCTATTTTTGATCCAAATCCCATCTTAAGGAAACCAGAAGCATCTTTATCAAATAGTTTTTTATAAGTTTCTTTGAACATGTCAGAATCAAACTTTTCTTGCATCACTACAACTCCACCTGTTTTCTCAGCTAATTATTTCATTTCCAATAGACCAAATTAATCTAAGGTAAATGCGAATATATCAACTGTCATGTTAGCTTTTATGGCTCTCTACGCAATTTCATTAAAAAACTTCTTTGCCTTCTATAAGTATTATGTATTAGGATTATCCTTTTGTATATCCAAATAAGATCGGATAGTCTCTTCTAATTTCAATCCTACCACCTACCCTGGACCTATCGTGCATGGTCCACCAACGAAAAAGAGAATTTTAGAGAATTGAGTAGCGCTCTCTACTAATGTTGAACCAATTTTCAATGCCGATCCATTAGCTCTGACTTCTCTTTCTCCTGGTTGTGTTGGCCATGGGTCACATTAAAGATCATCCAAAATAGAGTTGAATGAAAATTCACATTCACTTAAAGGAACTAAGAATCTCTTCAAGATTTCAGGCTTTGTACTCACCTGTAACATCTCCAATATCTATTAGGTTGTATAATCTTTTGATCCCTTAAAACTATAGCATTTAGGACATTCTTAAAATCCAAGTTCATGCACGAACACATTCCTTCCAAATGTGATGAGTCCAACTTAGGAGTCTGGAGGAATGATAGACAAACTCTGTTGAATAGAGTCTCTTATGGCTTACAAATCCTCTTAGGGGATGCAAGTGTCAATTATGTATAGGAAAGTGGTTGGGGCAGCTTATTGGTTAGATAATATATATTCCATGGTCGTACTAGTCTTCTTTAATTCGGCTGGTAATTGAGTTTCAGTGATGTGATCAGCGTAATGTTTAGGAAACACATTCTTAGAAGAACAGAACACACATGTCCATTGTTTATTTCTAAAATCTATCTGATTGTATGGATTCAAGATTGCACCACACTTACAATAGAGTGGAGAATACTAAACTAGTACGAGTGATTCCAAATCCTTCATTGGTGCTTATTATAATCATTTTCTATACAATATAGGCATCCCATCGGAACAATAGCTCTAGTACTTTGCAATTTAGTTGCTGGCAACGTGTTCCACGAAAATCTTACTGCATCCTTGTACTCTTCTTAATAAAAATCAAGTGGCGGGATTTGCTACTGCTATGCTTGAGGTTGCTGCATTGATTATTTTTTCAATTTTATTTTTATTGTATACACGTAACTCAGAATTATAAAGATGTTATTGTAAATATTATAAATAAAATATTGAAATATAAATGATAGATTTCATAGATTGTTTCAATTTTATATGATGTCAATCAATCACCTAGGCATTAAATAATTTATTTATATTATATGAATACTTTAATAAGGTTTGTAAAATCCTTAGTGAAATTTAGTGCCAACCTCATAGCAGGTGTTGGTTTAGTTATTGTATGCTGTGGATTGTTTGTGCTATACAACAAAGTCGGAATAGATTATCAAGGTAATAATAAATTCCAAAATAAGAGCTCTATCACACAAATGCAGAATGGTTAAAAACACTGCAACAATATGTTTTTATTATTTTAGGTGTTCTGATATTTTTAACTGGTTGTGCTGGGGTATATGGATCAAGGAAAAACCCAAAATTTTAAAAGAGTTGCTTGATGTGTTATTAAATTGGGGCATTAACTTTTTTTGTACTCTGTACAGGCTTAGCTACCTTCACTTTGTTATATTCAGATGACGTCTTTGGTATAGGTAATCATTTAAATATGCATACATATAGAATGTCAAGGAACTGCATAGTTCTAGAAGATTGATTCTCAAATCCATCAAGCAGAGTAACTCTTATGTTCCAACCCATGTTAATGTTATATCACCTAAGAAACTTATGAAAATAACAAGGAAATCTTCAAAGGAAAAAACTATACAACTTAAGAGGATTCACAAGTAAAAATAACATAAGTCTAAAAATGTCCATCATACTAAGCTGATTAATTCACCGCTGCTGTTTCAATTATGTAAGCGGCAGAAAGTTTATTACATTGCAGCGGGTGGTGCAACCCTACAAAATATTATCTATTTAGTGATATCAATGATTTCGATTCATTCATAGGAACTAGTTGTTTCAAAGAAACAAAGGACTTTGTAGAATCAACAGGGAGGTTTATGGGTTTTGTGCTATTTGGATTGGGAATATTATTTGGTATGAATTTAATTATGGTCATCCTATTATGTTGTACAAAAGAAAAGGATAGAAGAAATGATCATCTCATATATGATTATTGAGTAACATCTTGAAAATGAGTTAAATGTTCATAACTTCAATTATTATTTTTAATAATAGTTATTTATTCACATCATATTCATTTTATTATATAATTAGAACTTCTTATTGAATAACCCTAATATTTAATTAATATCAATTGTATAAATAATAATTTTCAAAATTTAGTAAGAATTAATACAGATGATTTATATCTATATAAAAACACGATTAACATCAATCACTCTAATTATCTAACTATATATATAAGTTATAATAATTTTACATCTTAGCTTGGTGATCTTAATTTGTAAATTACTTTTTGATTCCTTATTATAATTTATAAATCAATTGATCTCCTTTAGTATTCTATTAGTCTTATTAATAACAATATGCACTAATGTAATTTTGATCTTGCAAATTGATTTCAAGGTTAGTTAATCATGATAATAAATTGTTATTGTTTTCTTATAATATTAAATACTCAAAAATTTGATAATTTCTTATCCAAAAATTACAATTTTGCCTATACACTCTTTAAGTATAAATCTGTTGCTTCTATTTGTAAATCGTCATTTTGACTGATCGAAGCTAATTATTCCTTCTTTTTTGCCTCATCTTCTAACTTCTAAAGCAGTTGTATTTCTTATTGAGCACTCAATTTCCTTTCGTATAAATAACCATGATTACTTGTTTAATTATAAATGAGATGGGAGAGCTGATTGACTCATAGATTTTCTTTCTCTTTCAAATTCCCTTAAGTAGTCTGGTTACTACTTTTTTATTTAACCTTCTTAAATGATTATTTTCTAAGGTGTGTGCACTCTCAGATGAAAATAAGTGCTAGGTTCAGGCACTTTGCCTTATAAGAGACTCTCTGTAATTTTAGTTTTTGGTGCTATATGCTATTGACCTAATGCAGATTAGATTTTCTTCACTAAAAATCTTAGTATATCTTATTACTTTTTGCTTTAACTCCTGTATTCACTAATGAATCTAACAGTTAGGATTTATTTCGATATCTTATTAATTATTTTAATTTAAAATCTCTTGACTCATTGATTGAATTATCATTGATCGATTATTAACCATAATTTTTAGTGAAATTTGAGGGTCTATGAAATTCTTATATGATTTCAGAGTATTTTTATTTTTTTACTTTAAATTCTTATCTTTTCTTCAATTCTATAATGTCTTTATTTTTCACTTATTGATCAATTTTCATAACTTCTTGCAAGACCTTATAATCTTTAAAGAACTATTTGGTTTCAGATTTGATTTTGATTTCCCATTCTAATTTTTTCTAGTCTCTTTGTAATTTAAGGATTTCTCTATTTTCTAAATAATGCTCCTCATGTTAATTTAATTCTGATAATCGTATTGGTTAAGCTTGCTTCCTTTTCTCTTGAAGTTTGAGCTAGATTAAGAGAAATTACAGTTACTTTGGCATCTTCAAAATAGATTTATTTTAATTATTCATCTTTGCCTTTAAGAGAATCTTAATGTTTTTTCATTCTATTTTTTAATTCATTAATCAACTATTAAGATTATTTATTAAATTAAGTTAATAACTCATGATTCTTTTAATTTTCATTAAGTCTTTCAACAATTCTATTTCTTTTCGCTTAAGTAATCTACTACTTCAATATTTCTCTTTCTTCTTTCTAATGTTCCAAAATTAATCCTCTCTTTTCTGCACTATTATCTAAATGTTCCTATCGTTTTACTTGTAATAGTTCTTTTTATTTTTTCATTTCCTATATAAGCAGTTTTGCTTTTTAGCTTTCATTTGGATCCTATAATGAGGAGGTGGCTTTCTGTTTGCGAATCAAATACTCCTCTTTTTATGGACTTAGTTTAAGAGCTTGATATTTCTATTTATTAGATTTGATTTGCCTTTTATGATGATTTTCTCTTTGTTCCTCATTAATCATATTATTTAGGATATTTAACACAGTGTCATTATTTTGATTTCTTACTTGATCATCTTCCTACATTTTGATATGACTCAACATTGGTAGTTCTTTGACTCTATCAGGAAAATTAGTAAGTAAATTAGAAGAATTATGTTTGATTAATTTTGGTTCCTTTTCGAATGAACCAAACACATTACTTACTTTATCTGAATCTTGAGTCCTTTACTTCTTGAGTTCTTTCAAATTATCTAAAAACTTTATTGTTGACACAATAGTCTTCAACAACACTAGAGATTTGGCTTAATTATAAAAGTGTTGGAACTTTGGCACTTATGGTTTCTCTTTGAATCTCACTTCAAGATTGTCTGTTTTATAATTGTAGATGATCTTATTAACAGTTCCTTCTTCCAATAGGAGTTGACCGAAAATATAGAGACCAAATGTAGCTGTAATCTAATTGAATTAAAAAATTACTTTTTGTTGCTTTACTATTATGGCCTTCAGTTCTGCGATTGTTGCATTTTTAGGTATTTCAAAATCAAAGACTTATCCATTTATACGGACTTAAAATTTTAACATTAATATATATGAATCACATTAAAGCTTTTGGCTTGGCGAAATGGGCAACTGGGGAGAAATTGGAATTTATAGAAATGGAGGGCGAAGATGGTCTCATCTCAGATTTAACTAATACACTCATGATTCTCAAGACCAAAACAATTAGTTAATTTCAGAAGATGTAATATTAATGTAATATTGAAAGAGACTCATTGCCATCTAATAAAGGAAGATGGTATTATATGCCTTTTAATAAGGAGATCATCTAACTTGTTTTAGCAACTTCGGATTGTAATCAAAATAATATTGAAATGCTTATTAGTGCCATTTAATCAAAAATTGTATTGATCTAAATAAAATCTCTCTAGTTGAACGGGAATGTTATTCTCAATGACAATCAGAGGGATAACATCCTTAAGTTATTAATCTATTTCGAGAGGCAATACAACAAAGATCCAAAACAAATCAAATAAATCATGTAGACATTGGATAATACGAAATAATCAGTCCAGCAAAACATAGAAAAAATGATCAACAACAAAGACCAATTGAGTCAAATTGAAAGTATATCCTACCTTATTTTAGTTAAATCTTTGGAATTGGAGGATACATCAAAAATCTTTTATGATACGGCTACTGCTGTTCACAGAAAGAATAGATTGAATAGATTAAAAAGAAGATTAATTATTGGAGGGATAGCATTTGTAAGTATAAGTTTTATTTGTTATTGGATTTTCTATTGATAATATTACAAGAGTAAACAAATTATAATCACTATTTCTTAAGTACAATCAATTTTCTTCATTTTCTTATAATAATAATTTGGGAAGAGATTATAATGATCTCTCATATTTGTTTCTATGTGAAATAACAGATAATATTACACGCATTGTTCATTCATGAAACTAACTTCTGTTTTGATCATTTTACCAATATTATTTTGAGAGTGTAGGCTCTTCATATTTCGAATAGAAAGATAGCCTTTATTACTCTGCCTCATTGTTTATTGCATTTTCAATAGATGGTGCTATTTTTTTTTTAATGTATCACTAAATTGTGTTAGTTAAAATTATAATGATGTTTTGCTCAAAGGTGATAGAGCTGCTTCGGAAATACATTGAGAACTTTACTACACAAAATTGCTGTCCATTTAGTTTTAATCTGATTATTAGAATCTTTAAGAAGATTTGGAAAAATTTAATTTAAAATTCTTAATTTCATTTGATAAACTAAATCCTTCCTGATGACAGGTTCGATTATATTGTTGCTTCTTATTATTTATGTAATATAACCTATCTTAACGTTCTTGTATAGTTTATTACAATTCAGGATTTGTTATTATTAAGTCCTTTGGAGATTTATCCTTATATTTTTATTAAAAAGTCTCAACATTCCTTTTAATGCTTTGGGAAAGAGTCAATAACTTTTTATTTCCAGATCTAAGCACCTTAGTTTATTCTTAACTCATTTGTTAGAGATTCAAACATTCATAAAATGTCCGTTTCTCTGCTCTATTCATAGGTTCTTTATTGATTTTATCTTAATAGCTTTAAATGCTCTTTACAACATTTGTTAATCTTTGATCTACGTAATTCTTATTTTGAGTAGTAATATTTTTAAGAAGATTCATAATATCTGGAAAATTCTTTCTAATTTTTTTAAAGGTTTCTGCATCCATAATATAGGCTTCTGTGTTATCAACACATTAGCAATTGTACTTTCTTTGAGGGATGTCTTCCAATAGTTCCTCTTACCCAACAAAATGTCCATTAGTGATCTGACTCAGCTAATTATAGTAAGGATATGATTGATACCACAACTCGTTTTAATTTGATTGTGAATGCTCTTGAGGCTGTTTTATTTTAAATAACTTGAGAATCATCCAAATTTACATATAGTTCTACTCTGCCTTTCATGATTATTAAAAAATATTATGGTTCTTGTCCTTTTTCCCAAAGAATAGATTGAGAAACAAAAGATATTGGTCTTAAATTTTAAATAAATTTTGAAATACTGAATTGAGAAATACCATGTAGAATCCTTTGATATAATTCCATAGTTTTATTTTATTCTTGAATTGCCTTTTCACACATTTATTTGTATTGTTATCTATTTATAGAGATGCAATGCATAACTTCTGAGATTACCAATAAACTTGCAGATCTTGGCTTGTCAGATGTTAATGCAACGTCTCCAAAACATTAACCAGAGAAATATTGGAACACCTTATTATCTATTGTTATTTTCATACTTTATGATACAGATAAATTCCGTTTTGATAGTAATTTTGGTTGTTTCTATTTTCAAATAGCGCATCATCTTAAAAAAGCAATTTCTTGCTCTTCTTACTGTTTAATAGATTCAATTCATCTTCAATATCATCCTTTGATTTTGGGACATAAACTCCAGCCTGACCTTTTAAAATTATATACATTTTATCCCCAAACTCCCCGTAATTAAAAATTATTTGACCAAATGAAAAGGTTTCAAACTTTACGTATTTCGCAGCCTGCATCACAAAATCATGTAATTGCATTCCTTCAGGACAATTATTTTTGAGAAATTAAATATGCATTAACGATTCAATTAATTCTGAAGTTTAGAGAGAAGGATTGGTGAAATAATTAAGGGCTGGAGCCAACAAAACTTCATTCTACTATTATTACTTTGCCAATATCTCAGCTTGTTTAAGTTTTTGGTTAGATTATTTCATTTACTATTAATTATTTATACAGTATATAATCTAATTTAAAAATCTCAAATTTTCACTTTTTTCAATGGTTTACATTCATTTTCCAACCAATTAAAAAGTTGCGATTAATCCATATCCAATTGACACACATGTTTAACTTCTCGTAAGTATCGCTCTGCCTTGTCAAAATCCCTTGTTTTCATGTAACATACAATTATTCTATAATAACTTTTAATTTCGAACTCCTAAATACTCAAATTAATGTAATTACATTTCCTCTGCATTAAGGAATAATATCCTCCAAAATCATAATGGCCTTTTCATATTCCTTCAATAGAATATACGATTGAGCCATATTGCTACAGAATAATTGGTAATAATATTTTTTCTTTTACTGGACCTATGGATCCTATTCATGTATTTTCGGCCATGCTTCCATAAAGTTAATTCCCTTTTGGTACTTTTTAATGGCATTTTCAAATTAACTGTTATTAAATAGCTTATTTCCATCTTTCCTGAATTTTTCAAATTAAAGAAAACGACTATTTAATAAATTTAAACTAGTTTACTTTTCTAGGGTTGTTAAATCTAAAGGTTTTTCAATTAATTATTATTCTACTACTTTTATTTTAAAATATCTAATAACAGTTGTCTATTTATCGTTCTCATTTGAGACTTCATTCTGAATTTGAAAATTGCTAATCTTGAACCATGATTCCTCTCCAACACGCATTGATAAAAGAAGTTTCTTAATTACACTTAACTCTGGTTTTGGAGATTTCATGGAGAATCTATTGAGCTAAACTTATCTATCTTTATTCTATAAAAATCCATTAAAATCCCTTTCTTCACAAAATATTTTCAATTTTGAATCATCCTCTATTTATTCATTATCCGGTTATGAAATGACATTATACTTGAAAATATGAGGTCCGATCTACTCCTCTTGATATTTCTCCAGAGTTTCATCCATATTGATTTAAAGATTCTTAAAAATAATGACATTTTCATAGACTTTATAAGCAGCAGTAGTTTGATTCTCTTTTTCCTCCTCTTTCTAAACTTCTTAACTCATTATTAATATTATTGTTTGTTCTCAATATAACACGGAGATGAATTAAAGTTTAAAAATCCTTTTGATATTTTTACTCAAACTTTAGTTCAATCCAAGGATTTGTAAAAATAATTAAAATATAATTAATATTTCATATTATTTTATTAATCTATACTCTTTGATAATTCTCATTTATTTCAATTTTTGTATATTCTAATCCAGATTAAAATCAAAATGTATTTGAACTTTTATTTTAATTATTAATATTTATATTATATGCCTCCAAAAAAGGGAAAAGGAAAAAAGAAGCACGACTCTGACGATGATGAATCAGAAGAAGTCTATGAACCAAAGGCCACTAAGAAAATTCAAAAACAACCCTAAAAAAAATAATAAGGATCAGCAAAAAAATAAAAAGAAGAAGAATCCGGTGAGTCTTCATAATCTAGTGACGAATCAAATCAAAAACAAAGTAAAAATAAGAAGGCCTAATCATAAAAATAAAACAAACCTACAAATAATGCTAAAAGGAAATAAATAAAAGAAGATGTTAATTATTGTAATATTTTAGGATGATGATGAGAATTCTGAAAGTGTTGAGAAAGACAAAGATAATTTCAAATTATATTAAAAAAAAGAGACTCCCCCAGAAGAGGATCCTTGCAGAATTTATTATGAATCACTCTACAGAGAAAGACCAGAATCTATATTAGCTATTAAATATTGTTTAGATTATGGTCTCATTGACGAAGCCAATATCTAAAAAGCTCATAAATTTTATGAAAAACATAAATCTAAGTAAAGATGACAATAAAAAAACAATTTATAACATATTATATTGAAATCTAAATAATAAACTAATTATGTTTCAAATATCCAATATCTGAATACAAATCTCATCTTCAAATGCAGTTTTCAAGGAGAAGAAATCAACTTAATGAGATAAAATAGTTTAAATCTAATTATAAGATTAGGTCTAACTGTTTAGCTAATAACCTGCTTTGATTTTAGGAAGAAGAAATCTTTAATTTGTTTGTTTATAAATATTGAAAGTTTTCTGTTTCTCTATTATAATGAAATCGTAATTTAATTATAGTTACATCTTAAATGGCATAGTCACTCTTAATTAAGTAAACAAATTCTAAACATGTTTAAATTTACAAATCACAAACTATGTAAAAAAAGTAAATCTTATTAAAGAAGTTATCAAATTTATTGAATTAAATTTGAAAAATATCTCAATTATATGCTCAGTATTTTCAATTCAAATCATTTATTACAATTATAAGTGATCAAAAGTTAATCATATTTAATATAAAAATAAGCTTATTTGATTTACTGATTAAAACCTTCTTTTTGTTTTTATTAAAATATAGAGTAATTTCTTGATAATCCCGAATAGTAAAATATAAAGATTTTGAGGCTAATTATATTTCATAAAATTATATATCCGAAGTTAAAACTACCACTTTAAAGAAAAGAAAACATCATTTCTATTAAATCTAAATATCAAGGATTTTAACATATCCTAGTGTTTACTATATTTGAAATTAAAATTTTGGTTTAATTTCTTATATTAATGATTATCCCACTTTATGATTACATTATTTTATTTATCTTATTATTATAAGTATTAAAATTATTACATTGTTTAATTTTTAACTGATGTTTCAAATAGTTAATTTATTCAATTGAAAAACAAAGCTTAGGTCAATTTAAACTAAAATGAGTCCTTCAGTAAACTATTATGTAAAAATTTTAAATGAGTTTTATATGTGGAAATCTAGAAAACAATTTGAAAAACAGTTAAAAATATAATTTATTTTCTAATTATTGATGAATTAACTCATAACAAATGATATTATATATTTTATAAATTTTTTATGTCAAGACGTAGGCGTTGCGCTTTTGATTCTGATAATCTAGAAGAGTATATATAGGTATATAAACATGTAATATCAGCTTGCCACTATTGGATAAAATTAAACTAATCTCTTTTACGATGACAAAAAATTGAAATGGGTTAATGGATTGAAATAAGTAGATGAAACTAAATATACTCCAAAATAAATAGAAGGATTCGAACATGGTCATTTTCAAAATGATTATATTGATACTTCTGAACTTCCACCTGATATTCACTTGAAATCTAGTGAGGAAGTCATTAATCATCACATAATGATATTAGGAGATATCAATGAATGCCTTAAACAATCACTTAGTATGTTCTGTATGTAGAGTCGTAAAAATAGCAATGAAGATTTCAATGAAGAATTGATATCTCCATTGAAAAAGTAATTAGAACTATATAATTCTTAGTAAACTGTGCCTTGATTTGGCAATTAAAAGAATTCAAGAAAGGGATGGAGTTCATATGATTAAGTTTCTTATGCATGATACATCGATTTCGGATTATGCTCCTATTATCAATGGTATATTATAATTCTACTTTTTATGTAGTTTACTTTCTCTAAACTTCGATTTACATACTAGCATTTGATGTTGATTAAAAAGATTTCGAACCTTAAAAGGAGCAAGATATGATTTCTTATGTAAAGGAGCGAGCTATGAATGTGAAAAACATTTATTCAGTTTACTTTACTGATTAGGATATTTCTGATTAAAGACAAAATAAATATTTTTGTAATAGATGGAATATAGGTGCTATTCTCTCTTAAGTATTTATAAAAATTAATCAAAGATTATCGAATAAGTTATTACTTAATGAAACATATACTTTTATTAATATTTATTTCATTTTATCCTTTCAATTTATATCAAATAATCAATTATTATAGATTTAAATAATTATATAGATTCGAAACTGTGTTCTATTTTCCATAAAAAATATTAAATTAATGTAACTATATAATTGATGGTTATTGTTTAATAGTATAAATTGAAGTATTTGGATGGCTCATTTATTGAAATTTATCTCAATAGATCAGAAAGCCATACTAAAAAGGATGATGAATACCGAGGAGCTAATAGATAAATAACAGACAAATTTGGAATTCAATAGAATTTTGTTTATCATTTTATTCTAAATGAAATACCTTACTATCAGTCATTTTTAAATTATTAATGAGAGTTTATTTTGAGATAAACAATAATAAAATATACTCAAATACTTTGATCATAATTTGCATTATTTAAACTATATCATTTTACATAATTTATTAAACATAAAATTAATACGTTATATGAATTTAAACTAGTGGATAACATACAGTTTCTAAATGGATATTATTGAAATCAAAGAGAATGATTATAATTAATATAATATCTCAAATCTTCAATAGAATAAAGAGAAAAAATGACGAATCAAGGATTGTGAATGATATAAAAATTAATTAAAACTAATTTTAGAGTCATATTATTTAGATATTACGTATTAAATTATGATGAAATGAAAATTTGAAATAAAAAATAATATAGAAATGATGTTGAGAAGTCTTTGGAGATCCCCAGTCTATTCTTTTTCATATTACACTAACTTGGATCTAAGTTGTCCTTATCCATCGTTTCAAGTAAAATATTATAGGAACAAACTCATAGGCTCGAGATCTAACAACGACTCATACAATGCATTATATTACTAAACCTCCATGTGATCCTAAGATCATGACGTTTGGAGCTTTTCACACTGATCACTTATTGGAGATTGATTGGTCTGAGAAGATGGGGTAGATGATTAAATAAATTTTGATTTAGTTGGAGCCGACCTTAGATTGTGCCATTCAAGAGTTTCAGCATTCATCCATTTTCAGCTTGTTTACATTATGCAATCGAGTGTTTCGAAGGTGCTAAAGTAATTGAAAAATAAATATTAAAAGGCGTACAGAGGACCCAATAATTCAATAAGAACATTCAGATTGAATTGCAATATGTACAGAATGAAACAATCTGCTAAGAGATTGTCATTGCCAGATTTTGATGGCACAGAATTGGAAAGATGCATCGAATAACTATTAAAAGTGGATAGAGATTGGATTCCGGATAGACCTGGATTTAGTTGTTACATTAGACCAACATTGATGGCAACAGAGGAGGCATTGGGAGTCAGAGCATCAAGCAGAGCAAAATTATTTGTTGCATTGTGTCCTGTTGGTCCTTATTTCCCATCTGGTTTAAAGCCTGTTCGAGTGTTCTGTAACACATCAACAGTAAAATATCCATCTTTAATATTAGATTCGATCTGCTCCTGGAGGAGTGGGAGGATTCAAAGTAGCTGGTAACTATGCTCCAACAGTTTTACCTTTGAAGGAAGTCTAAAAGATTGGATTCCACCAAAATTTATGGATGTTGCCAGATGGTCTGGTATAAGAAATGGGAGTTTGCAATTTGTTCTTCTTTTGGAAAAATAAAGAGGGAGAGAAAGAGTTAGTTACACCAATTCTAGATGGAACTATTCTCCCTGGAATTTTGAGAGATTCCATTCTGGTATCATCACTAATAATGTATAGGAAATCACAAGAGGCATGGGAAAGTTCAAAGTTACTGAGAAGAAACTCTACATCTAGGAAGTATTGGAAGCTATTGAGGCTGGCAGAGTATAGTAGCATTTAATATTGTTTAGATGATTGAAATGTTTGGATCTGGTACAGCTGTTAGTATTCAACCAATTGAGGCCATTGGATTTAATGACAAGATCTATGAAGTTCAATATGATCCAAAATTAAATGCTGGAGAACTTTCACATGAATTGTTTGATATCTTAACAAACATTTAGGTATAGTAAGAGTATTAATTTTAGACTGGTGGTGGAGAACATAAATGGGTTAGATAAATATGATTTACATTGTTCTATGTTATAAGTAAATTATGACAATAATTATGTTTAATAATAGATTAGCAAATATATCATTCTAATTTTTTTAATTAATCTCTAACTTAGCTGGCCTTTTTGAAATTCATTTAAATTTATTGTTTTTATTAATTGTGAGGAGGTGAACATAGAGATTAATTTGGTGATAATTTATAATATCCAATTTGTTGCAGAGCATTCAGTTACACGAATTTTTGAGTATCTTTCTTTACTTCTGGAGTATTTAAGATTGAAGTATCTGAATCTGATGATTATTGTTGATTGCAGGGAAAATTCAATATTTATTTTGAGTCCATCTCTCCTGATTTCTCATTCAACCAACTATCAGAAGTGGCTTTTACTAAATCGTATTCTCTGACACCCATAAAAGGAGTTTGTTAAACCAATTCATTTTTCTTTAGTCTTGACATTTTGAATCGCATATCATTCTGACAGAATTTCTTCATATTTTCAAAAGCACTATAATTGTCGTTTGGTAATTCATCCAATGGAAAATCATCCATACTATTAACTTATCTTTTGTATAATCTTGAGATGAAAGGATGAGATAGGGCTTCCAGAGATGAAATCCTATTCTTTGGATTGGGCTCCAAGGTTTTTTATAATAAATCCAAAGCATCTTGGGATACTTTTAAGCCTTGCAAATTGATTTGACATTCTCTATTCTTTTCTATCACATCATCCAAACTATTACCATAAAATGGGGCTTATCCAGTTAGTCTATCATTTTTAAACATTTTACAATATATACAGTATGATCCCAGCACTGAAAACATCTACTTTTTCATTATACTTCTAATCTTATAGAATTTCAGGAGCAACATACCCAGGAGTACCACATCTTTTGATTAGTAATTCGCTTTCAGTATAGGATGCCAAACCAAAGTCAGCTATTTTTAAATCGAAATTCTCAGATTTGTCTTTGAGTATTATATTCTCCAATTTGATATCTCGATGCATAATATTCTTGATTGGATAGAAGTTTTAATACTTTAGTATGAAGATACTCCAAGGCATCAAATATTTTGAACATGATTAGTGCTATTTTGGATTCCACAAAAAAAGGAGTCTCAAGTATGAGATCGAACAATTCTCCTCCCTCCAACAATTCCATAACTAAATAGATGTAATCTCCACTTTCATAAATCTCATAGAGTTTTATAATATTTGGATGATCACATGACCTCAATAGGTTGATCTCATTTAATAGGCCTTACTAAATGATTATTGTTATTTAGAATACCCTTTGAGTGTTCGTTTTGTCCATCAATGCTGATTTTTGAAAGGTCTTCACTGCAAACTTGGATTTATCTATCATTTTATGGGCTAAAAATACCTTATTTGTGAATTATATTACCTTTGCAAACGTACCCTTTCCTAATACTTTGATATTCGTGTAGATGTCTTTGTAATTGTTCATGATACAGGTTTTCTTGAATTACTCAATCCATTTGGTTTGACTTTCTGAGGAGCGAGCAATAAAAATCAACTTGCGATTTCCGTTTATTAAGATTATGGGATATTTATCTTTTTCAGATTCAACCATTTATTTTAAGTCCAAATAAACATTCGTCAAAAATAGGGCCGCAGTTTCTTTTTGTTCCCTCCCATTCTAAGAATAAATTTGAATCACATTCATACTTTGTAGATGTTCAATCTATCAGAAAACAGCTTAAAAAATTTAGGTTTGAAAACTTCTTGCTTTTTGCACTTAATAAATAAAGTTCCCTCGAATAATCTGATTGTGGAAATCGAACGTTTAATAGAGTCCAAATTCACCCATTAATTCTTATCATTCTAATTTGAAGAATCAAAAAATAATTACTCAGTTTACATTAATATATAAAATAATTGTATTCAACAACAGTCTGTATATGTATTTATAAAATTATCAGATTCTCTCTCTTAATGATGAGATAAGCTTTGTGCCATTGGTTATATTGGTTGTGCAAACGATTATTTCTTTATTAAATTACTTCCCCAAGAGTCTCAAAGCAGCAATCTCCCCATAAGTGACACCCCCAAGTATATATACTATTACAATTGGCTTTTTGCCAGGCACATTCAATCTGACAGGTCTATCTGGCTCTAATTGAAAACCATTAATCAATTACATCTGAGCTTTGAACGGTTTCCAAGATTCCTTATCAAATATCTTTTCAGTCAAACGAGCCCTAAATCATTAGAAATCTAAGTACATCAGAGGGTAGTGACCACCATAAGTGTAAGCAGGATCTTTTGGATCAGTCTCATCGGATCTGACATTCAAATTGAGTAATTTAAAGGATTCCTGTAATTTAAAGAAAAGTTGCTTCGGATCAGATTTGTAGACCATCCCTGCTTTCAATAAGTTGTTTAAGAATGCAATAGTCTTAAACCCATAGACATGAACAATCTCTCTCCTCATATAATCGTATGGTTTCTGTTTCAATCCTCCATCAACTAAGGTTCTTAAGGTTAACAGCCTTACAACTTTATTTAAGTCAATTTCGGATTGAATCATAGCCTCTATGTAATCCAAAGCCTTATCTGATTTATCTCCATTGATTATTCCCTATTCTAAACTTAGCATTTTGTAGAATGAGATAGTTCTAATGTTATCTGCTATCTTTCCACTTATATTAAGATCTATTTACAAATTAATATAATACGCCTCAAATTTGAATCCTACTCAGCCTTAATCCTAGCTGCCTCTTGCCCAGAATTCGCTTTGATTTAGATTTACAATTGCTTTTAAAACTCCACCTTCTCCACCTCCTACTGTCTGGCTTGCTCAGATAAATATTTGGCCAAAGAGGCCACTTACAATCCTCTTACATTATAAATCAAAGGGTCCTTATCTAAGTTCATTTATATGGTTTGATATTGCTCCCCCTCCTGTCCTTCCTTCCCAAATATCTTCTTCTGTACACTGACTAAGTTCCCATTGATGCCAAACTATTCATCCACTAATCCTTCATAAACCAATTAGGTCAACATGGGAGTAATCAAGTCAATGCTTCTATCATATATAATCAGAGACTCTACCTCTTAAGAGTCTTGATCCTACTCCAACTCTAAGCTTTCCACTTTAATAATATCATAAACCATCTTGGCCCCATCGCCTTTGCAGTATATGTTGGGAATATTGCCCATCAAAAGTTATATGCGATTGATACTATCTGCAACATGGGTATAAATTGAAAGGTCTTATTCAACCACGATATCTCTAAAGGCATCTGGCATTTCTAAACTCAAAACATCTTAATCAAGTGGTATGAGATCAAATGAAAAATCCATAACTTTAACGCTACTCAAAACTCCTTCTTGTTCCAGCAATTCCTTGGCTATGAGATTTCGTTAAGGCCAGAAGACCAATTAGTAGATGTTGTTGGGACCATTTGCAGTTTTGATCATTTTTGATATCTTCTTAATGAGATCCTATTTAGGCGGTATGATGATAAAGATCTAAGTGATGTCATTCTCTATTTAGTTTATCGTCTCAATTTGCAGGGTTTTCTTGACTCCGTTCTCCAATAACAATTTGTTTTCGATGCTCAATTTAAGTAAGTGTAACACTCTCTGACTCAAAATCAATTATTTATTTCCAGGGAGAGTCTCAAATAATTATATAATCGATTGCTTCAAGAAATCCTTATGAATTGTGATGTCAAACTGAAATTATGGATGATTTGGATTTTACATTATATATTTATTAATCTAAATATATCAGATAGATCCTCCATTATCATAAATACAAAAGATATTTAAATCTATGTCATTTTTTCAATTTTTTTGATTAATTAACACTGTTTGAACGCAATGCAGGCATTTTATTTTTTGAGTTGCTCTCTTTCAATTGATACTCTTCGATTGCCTAATTAATTCACTTAGCTACTTAGGATTCCCTTTGCAGCTTAATCATTTCCTCATATTATTAGTTCAATTCATCCATCAACTTCTCATTAATCCCATATCCCAAAGATTTCATGGAGTCTTGCATCTGCGATATCGTTTTCTTCAAAGTGCACATACTCTAAAACTACTCGTCTAAATCGATATCAGCTATCAATTATACACTTTTCAATTCTTACTTTAAAATAGCATCTTATTCAATTAACCAACCTCAGTGTCATCTTCAAAATTTAACATAACTTTTTTCTATTTATCCAATGCCCTACTCCTCTATAATAAATCCTCTATGCTGCTATCACTATTACTGCCATCATCATCTTAATCATTATTCGATTCCTCCGATTTGACTTGTTGATTATGAGTCAGAAACACAGTGTCTTGTTGTTTTTGCTGTTGTTTTTATTAAGATGATTTCAAATCTTTGATCTTTTCAGTTTGACTATAATTTTTCAAAGTATTAGCTCTCCTAGCTAAAGAGTCCATTTCATCATGAGAATTATCGATTTTCTTATTAGACTTCACCTCATTCACCTAAGCTTTTTTATTCACCTCATTCACCTAAGCCTTTTTAGTATCAATTTTGTTTAAATCATCATATTCGTTGAGTTTATTGAATAGATTCTTTTCTAAATTGCTTATTGCATTATTACTCTACCTTGGAGGTAATTGTCGATTTGCTGATTATGCTGAGGTTGGTTTATTAATACTTGGTAATTTCATTAATATATTAATTTGTATAATTATTTATATTGATAATTGATTCAAACTTTAAACGGTAGAAAACTCATTACTGGCAGATTCAAATGAATTATAGAACTCAAATGCTTTTGCTTACTCAAATCATCCTCCTCATCTTTTGACCCTTCCTTCTTTTACATTTAATTGTTCTTCTTTTTCCTCTTCATATGAGTTGAGCAAATCTTGAAAGAAACTATATCAGAATAGATATTGCCATCCACAATAATCGAAAACGGTTTCTTGGTTTATTCCTCAACATTGATTTTTGTAATCGAAATATTAGTAAACAACGATTTGAATGCATTTTAAATAGATTCTAAATACTCTCTACATAATCAATACCTTAAGAATGCTTCTTAAAAATGTTCTTTTGTCTCAATCCACTATCAAACAACTTCGAGTTCTCATAAGTTATATAAGATAACTCCAACCAATCCGTATGAGGCATTGGCATATTCCCTTCAAAAAAGTCTGTGTAAACATTATTAATTTTGCAATTGTGCAACTGCACCTAGATCTTTTCGACCTTCTCCTCCTTGTTGGGACTATTGATAATGTTGCCCAACATATCAGTCTACTCCGTAATCATTTAGATATTTAAATATTAGAATTTGCAGAGGTTTTTTTCCTTAAAATCATAAAACGATAATTTCTATAGCTTTTCATCCTTCGACCTCTCCTTCTGCAACTCAAATTCAGCTATAGCTCCAAACATCACGTACGAACAAAAGTATAAGGTACTCTTCAACACCTCGTCAGATTTGCTTTTTGGGTTTAATCCCGACTTCTGCTCTGCCATTGCTATTCCTCCATAACTCAACTTCTTTTGATAAATAGTCAACTTATAAACCCTCACATTGTAAGCTCTATTCCCTTCTCTCAAATAAGTATTCAAACACCAGGCCTTCTATTCTAATGGCAATTACCCTTGCACTTTGTTTACCTCTTAAACGTATTTGTTGTTATCCTCCTTGATAGACTCTAGCTTTGGAATCAGAATATCCTCCATAAATGGTAGATACAGGTATCTCTAATACCAAGGATCCTTTACAGCAAGGAACTAAGCCAGAGCGCAATCCTTAGTTGGGACAATAAAGACTCTGATATCCAAAGTTCTGAGCAATAAGGGATTCTTTTGATAAATTTCACCAAGTAACATACAGACTTCAAATATTTCTGCGTCTGATCCCACAACTAACAATCTCAATGGTTCTGTATGCAGAGGCATATAATTATCATAGGCTCTTTGCACAAAGTCTTTGATTAGTTGATTGGGAATCATGAATTGTCCCTATTCAAATTTGAGAAAGGATTGTTTGGGTGCAGTAAATGTAAAGCTTTTTTGGATGACGTTGTGAAAGTAAAACAAAGGAAAATCAGGTATGGAGAGCTACATAATGTAAGATTGAATACTTGATTACTCATAACTGCTTGTACTTCTTTTTATACATTATTTGGTTCTTGAGTATGTTTCATCAATTCTTTGGTTATCTCATCAAAGGCATTCTCATAAATTAATTCTATGTCTGCTATGGAATCCAAGTTGTCACATTTCTCAACAATGGTCAATAATTTGCAATACAGATTAAATATATCCACCTCTTTGAATGCTGATAATTGTGGACTCTTTCCTTGCTGTATTAATTAATAACAAAATTACATTTTTCTTTTGTTGCAATTGCAAAATTTAAGCACAAATATAACATCGCAAACTATTGGGAGTGTACAATTGGGCATAATTGGGATTCTTATTTCTCAGGACGAATTGTGCATATTGCAATACATTGTTAGCATTGTTTTATCGATTCTCATAAAACACATAGACTGACAGAATCTATTATTCTTATTTCTACTATCCCATTCCAGATATTGGGATCTGCTATTCTTAAACACTTTAAAATAAGACATCTTGGGATTGATCATCATCAAAAAAATCGATTTGTGGAATTTCCTCTCTGATTTTCATTCTAAATGCGTTCCCCCTTGATTTTTATTCTTAATACAATATCTAAACTAGTTCATTTGCCATCACTCCAACAGGAAACGGCCATCTCCTGAAGATCTCGATTTGATTAAGGAGAGATTTCAAGAGATCAACGATTTCACATCCATAAAAGGTAATCAATTATTTAGTCATGTGTAACAAAGACAAGGCTGATTTTTCTGCTTGTTCTGGGAAGTCCTGTGCTATGAATGGAATCATCTTGAAGTATTTTAAGAGAGAATCATAAAATACTCTGCTCTACGAGTTCTTGTATTTGGTCCTTATCTATTTGATTAGGTATTCATAGCAAAACATGAACTCCCCAGTTTCTTGTAGGTCGAATCTCTCATCCAGTAAGAGGTTGTAGAAGGAATCATTTTTCACTCTCACCGTTTTCCCGTATTGCTCAACCAATTGGTAATGTTGCTTTAGGGAATCATACATGAGCTCGATATTCTCAGGCTTGGCCACCTTAAACAGATCTGGCATAAAAGCTATAGCACCAATCAAGAAGCCTGTGAAGTTGTTATCTTCTAATTGCTGAGATTCAAAAATAAAGTGCAAATTACAAACTATTGATATGGAGTACGGGTTCATCAACTATTATTTCTTATGAGCATTGACAATATGATGATCCCAGTTCTACTTGACTTCTTTATAATCTCTTTATTTTTTAACATTCTCCACATTTTTAAACATACTGATTGTTAATAAAGTAGCTAATAGACTTTCTAGACTATATGGTTCCTTTTTTCTTTTGTATTCTGTTTAATCAATAATTTTTAATAATTCAAGAACATAAATGGAAGCATTATCCTAGCCTTCATTCAGTAATTCCCAAAAAGTCTAATATTCATGAGCCTTAATCTCGATCTTGTTAACAAGAATGTTGGTAGTCAATATGATCTTCTTAGTCAAATCCTAAAAAGATTACTTAGTATTATTATTGGGAATCATATAAAATATTAATATATTTATATATATAAAAAATACCTAAGAATTAATAAAAAGGATAATTAAGATCAACTTTATTATTTGTTAGAATTATGAGTACCTCGATTAGTCGAAAATCTGCCTGGCATGTCGATGGATTGCGTCATAGTGATCCCAATATTATGATTATTGGATCTACTAACATTAACTTCTTTGACTTGAGTAGTTTGTCTCTTTTTCATGGCCTCTAAGGATGTTTCGGCCATGATGAGTTTTTCACTCAATTCCGAAGCTTCCTCATTCTTTTCTTTGAACTTCTTCCTCCAGACGTCAACCTCACCCTACAGAGACATCAGAGTGGTCTCAACTCGACTATAATTTTCTTGAATGATCTGGAGCTCTTAGATTTGATCATTGAGTTGATCAATTATGTCATCCTTTTCATTTAGGATGGACCGTAATTTCAAGATTTCTTGGTCCTTGTCTCTGAGATGCAATTGCAGATCCTTATTCTCTTCCTCCAATTAGAAAATAGACTTTTTCAATTATCGCAATTCTTCATTGAATCCAATTTGATTTGATTATTGTTTCTGAAGTTCACTGTATCTGTCCTTCCAATGTTGTAATTCCTCTTTGAGTTATTTTATTTCAGTTCTTTATTTCTCTTCTAGAATTCTGAGATTTTTGTTGATTCTTTCTAATTCATTAACTTTAGAAGTATTTTCAACAGGCGCAGGTTACTCAATGTAGCCATTAATTTTGATTCTTTGATTCTCGACCTACAATTAATAGACCATCTATTCTAGTTGTTGGATTTTGAATTTGTATTTGTATTCCATATCTTCGGCATTGACAACCTAAATGGGTCTTTCAAAGTGATGAACTTCGTGTATTTCTTGAGGTTTTTGGACTCTTTCAGTTGACAATTACACCAGTCGAATAGGAGAGACTGAGGAGGAATGTTGAGGTATGACATTCATTGATGATCTGGTTGGAGTGGGAGTGGTTCTCCTGTCACTAGAAGGTGTTCTAAGGTGTAACAATTAGATACATCGCAAAGTGAGTTGATTAATTTTATATCTTTTAGACTGCGTAGTTAGTTATATATTTGTTGGATTGATTAATCGAATTTTGGGTTTGTTTGTTGAGTGGAGAGACTGCCTAAGGAGGTTGTGGGATGTAGGAGCTGCCCTTGGATCGAAGAAGCTGTTACAACCTTTCGTTTTGCATAATAAAATTTATTAATATGAAAGTAAAAGTTTAGTAATATAAAATGAAGCTGCAATTCCTAAAACCATTAAATTTAATAAAACATGGGAAAAGGCAAATAGAAGCCAGAGTCATTATTAGAGGAAGCACCAAAACAGTAGAAGAAGGCTGGTTTTGTTGTGGATTCCGATGAGGGTTCAGAAAAAGAAGCACAAGAGAAGTAAAATTCTAGTTTGATATTTTAAGCAATTATGAATCATACAATGCTGAGTTGTCCGATGATGACATGATCTTGATTGAGGAAAATAAGAGAATGCAAAGATAGGGAAGACTCAAAAAAATAGCAAAGATTGATGATGAGCCAGAAATGGAGGATGCTCATGTAGATTTGTTTTAAGAACCACAAGCAGAGGAACCAATTGATGAGAATGAACAAATCGAGTTAATTAATAAATTGTTCGATCCAAGTCAAAGAGAAGTGGCATTCTTGAACCAAAATGATGAGGATATTATTAAATAGGATGTGCCTGAATCTATATAAAATACTTACATGATGATGACTAATGGGTAGATTATGCAAAATGCAAGAGAGGGAGCATCGGAAGAGCAATTGAAATGGATTGGGGAGAAGATGTGTTCCTAGTTCGATCTTAAAAATTTATCTGATGTTTTGGTTGGGATCAGACTAATTTTGGAGTTCTATAGGAAAGAGAACTTGGACATAATGTACATCTACACTTACAAACGCTATCTCATAACTTCTACTTTACAATTGGAACATTATTGGAAAATTAGAGAACTAGATTGTGAGTGGGAACACTTTTGCAATTTCAAAACTAGGATATCAAAATTGATTGATTCTTTGCCTGGCAAATATCTAATCTAGAAGGACACAGCCAACATGTATCTGCAGATAGCTAAGGAAGTGGAGGATCTGTAGAACCTGAAGGACTACATTGATTATATAATATTGAAACACAATTGCAAGAGGATCGTGTGTTTGGAATAGGAATTAGAAAGAGGGAATTAAGAGAAGCAATTACTAGGTGAGAGAATGAATTAAGATTAGACAATCGAATAGGAGTAGACTGGTACCAACACTGATAATATAGTAAAGGAGTTGTAGAATCTGAGTTTGAATACAAAGAAGAAGCCTACTACAAAGGAGAAAGCCATGTAAGAGTACATTAAATAGAGAGTGGATGAGGCAGCATTGAAGTTGTGTTATACTTCAGATGAATTCTTCAGAAAGTTGCAAGGGAAGAGTATCTAATTGAAAAGAGAGTTCATTTAGGATCTGGAGGAATTATGGAGTATTCAAACTCATACAACAGAGTTTCAATCACAAGATTCCAATGCTGAATATGTTAAGTTATTATAAAGGTATTTGATGAATGAACTCTATCATCATCCCTTCATTAGGAATTTCATGAGTTAGATATACAGGGATCATCTGCTGATATCAACTGAGCCTACTCAATTGGGTAATAAAGAAATCACAGCAGTGAGCTACTTCTACCCAGTCAAGAGAATCAGACATAGACAATACAAATATATGGAAGATCAAACTTGGATGCAGTGTCTTAGAGCAGAACAATTAGGATACATCAACATTAGTTTTGCAGTTTCCAAAGATAAAGATCACAAAAAAGAGAAAATTCCAAGAGATGATATTATGGTGTTATTGTACGACAAATTTGTCAAAATTGATGATCAATAGAAAGAACAAGAAAGCATCGTGAAATTTAGAGATCTCATATTCAGAGGGATCTTACAAGAAATATGGTATCCGATTTTAGAAAAATAAATTAAATAAAAATTGTAAACTCTCTCAACCAAACATATTGTGAGGATGTGCTAACAAAAATTTAAATCCTTCATTAATAAATAACCTCATATTAGTGAAGTTGGCAACAACCACTAAATTCAATAGTAGACTACTAATCCAGATGTCAAAATCATGTCTTTAGTTATTGGATAAGAGTAGTCAGATGCCAAGATGCTCAAAGCCTACTCTCAAGATTGCTCCATCCAAAAGAAATGCATTGGAATGGCAGTTATTGATTATAAGGGTGAATAGCAGAGTCTCCAAATCTTCAATTATCTAACCTAAGATGAAAGAAGGACTGAAATGCAGGAGTAAATCAGGAAGGAATAAGCACTCTTGGATAATTTCTTTGAGAAGTATAAACCAGATCTTGTTGTCATCTCAGCCAATCACTCTGATTGCTTGAAATTAAGAGCTGATTTACGTAAGAAATATAAGTAGACATCTTCTGTTTGGATTACTTTGGCAGATTCATAAATCTCAAGGATCTACAGTATGAGTGAAAAGAGTAATTTATAATTGCCTGACGTTCCTCAAATCCTGAAAGAGGCAATTTCTTTGGCTAGATACAAACTTAATCCAATGGCAGAAGTCTTGAATCTATGGAGTGATGCCATTGATAAGAATGGGTGTTTGCATCTCAATTTGCATCCTCTATAATCAATGGTCAGTCAGCAAGAGTTGCTTGACGCCTTAAAACAAACTGCCACTGAAATAGTCAATTAGGTTGGAGTTGATTTGGTTGATTGTACTCTGCATAAACACTTGGCAGATTAGATGCAATTCGTCAATGGTTTAGGAAGAAGGTAAGCAAAACATGTAATTACACTGGTCAAAGGGCTATTGAGTAAGAGTCTCTTTAATAATAATTACGAGGATGAAAGACTCATCTATTCCAAATTGGAGTAAGATCAAAAGGAGTACATCCAAATAGAAAGATAAGATATCCTCAAGACACAGATTTTGAAGAAGGTCGTCTTCAAAAACGTGTAAGGATTTATCAAGATCCAGAGAGGCATTTAACCATTAGACATAACCAGAATGCAAATCAAAATGTATTCTGATGCAGTCCATATAGCCAGATGTGCATTAGAAGTTGGAGGGAGAGATGACAGATAGAATACAGTTGTGAGACAATTGATGAGTCAACCTCAGAAGATGGAAGATCTCTAATTGGAAGACTGGGCAAAACAAAGAGAACTCAAAGATGGAAGTGAAAAGTTCACTTTAGTAGCTCAATTCATGAAGGAGGAATTGGCAAATCCTTTCCTTTATAAATTTGATACTGCCAATAAGGAAATGAGTAATTCTGAGATATTCTATGCGATCACTCAAGAGTCTCCTTACACTTTCCGTAAAAACAGTGTTGTCCAAGGTTAGATTACTAAAAAACTAGAAAGTAGAGATAGGAGCAAGGACGGTGATAAACTTCTGATAAAATTATCAAATAATGGATTATGTGGTACTCTACGTAAAGAGGATATGCTAGAGTAAGAGTTTGGAATCGGATAAATTGTAAAAGCCTATGTGAAGAGGATACCAGCCATAGAGAACTATAATAAGAATGAGAGTCTGAACATCTCAACTCTAGAGAATAATAATAAGAATGACTATTTCCACATCCTTTTTATCGAATTGTCATTGAAGCCTGATTGGCAGAGGTGGGATTAAGATTATTTGAAGCCCCCTAAATATGATCCATGGCCCTATACTAATATTTACTACGATGATTACTGTAATAAAGTGTTGCAAACCTTTGATTAAAGTAAATTCAAAGACTTTGACTAGCCAACCATCCCTTAAGATCAAATGCCTAATAGATAGAAACAATAATAGAAATTGATTCTTAGAAATATTAACCATCCTAAATTCAAATAAGTGCTTCTTAATGGAGCTATGGAGTATATGGAAACTCAACCTGTTGGAGAGTACATCATCAGACCAAATTAAAAACTCAAAGATCATTTAACTATCACTTGGAAATTCCATGAAGGAGTTATAATTCATCTCTATGTTTAGGAATTAAAATCGGCTTAGAGTTTCAAGCCTCAACTAGTTTTGAATGGTAAAACTTATGAATCTTTCAATGAAATCTTTGAAAACTATATTAATCCTTGCAACCTCCACATGGAAGCTGCTGTCAACAATAAGAAATTCTACAATATGAGATTAGAACAGGTAGAATAGATGTTGAAAGAAGACAAGGAAAAGGATGAAGAAGTCATTCACTATGGTTTTTGTGTTACTGACAAAGCTCCCCAATTCATAGTTCTCTTGTACATTATGCAGAAGAATAAGGTGGAAAAGGAATACATTAAAGTCAAACCTGAAGGTCTTAGTTTTCACTCAGTAATGTAGAATAATCTCCAGGAATTAATATTGTGGTTTAAGTAAAACTTCACAACCCAAGAGTATTATGATTATGTCAAAAAAAATAAACCCCCTTTTCCTGAAACCAATGATAAATTAAATGAATTGAGTACATAGTGGGAAATTAAGAAGGAGCAAACTAAAGAAGAAAAAGTCAAGTATGAAGAACCATCCTGTAATTATTCCTTATTATAATATAGATAATGGATTATGTTCTAAATTTAATAAGCGGGATCATAATGCAAATGATTGCAGGTAAATGAGAGACAAAGGAAGATGTGGAGTAGGAGACTCTAGAAGTATATTATTTATTCTATCATAGTGGGTTGTCATAATTGTGGACAAAATGGTCATTTCAAAAAGAATTGTCCTAAATTAAATTATCATAGAAGAGAAAGAAGCAATAGCAGAGAAAGAGAAAGAGATAAAATGTCTACTAAAAAGAACTAATTTTAAACTAAAGTAGAATATACTCATTAATTTGGTTGGTGATTTACAATTATATTATATCATATTTTGATTTTTCAATTAAACACCTATTTAAAATAATGAAATTTAAACATTGCATTATTCTTCCAGATTTATCATTTTGCTATAAAAAGAATAAAAAATGTACATTAAATTTAATAATTTAAGAGACTAAGCAGAAGTTGATAACAAATCATAGAACAACAAAGCTAATGACATGTGGTGGAGATCCATAAAAAACCTTAAATAATATAGCATTTTTAGTTTGGAATTATTACAAGCAGAACTCTTAACGCAAGATGTCAAAATATAATTGAAACCGTATCCATCAAGTTTATGAATAAATACTAATTAGACAAAAACTTTATAGTTCATACAAGAATTTTAACCCAGCCTTCAACATGATAAGTATATAGGATTTGGATAGATCATATAAAATTTAGAAAGAATAATAGATATAGATATAGCAATAGTAATAAATGATTAATCAAAATGAAGAGAAGGCAGGGAACGTATTAGCCAGATAGGAATGTTGAATAGTTGACACCTATGAGATATGCAAAGAAGAAGGGGAAAAAGAAGAAATGAACCAATGAATACTTATACATGTTATGATCTCATAGTAAAGTAATATTTAATTCATTTGTACTTTGATATTTAAAAGCTTACAATTCTTTATTATAAAAGGGGAAGAAATTGTAATCACATAGAGTGTATGTTAGCTATAATTCTTAACATTTATGCTGTAAATAGCCATTTTATTTATATAGAACGCAATCAACAAATTTATGAATTTGTTACTCAAAATGAGTAATAAGTTAAAAGGTTACTGAAAATGATATATTATTTAAATTGATCAACAAGGTCTAACATTAATCATATTAAACAGACAATTTCACTAATTTCTTATTTATAATAATCATTAACTTCTGGTAGAGCAAGCATCAATTTTTTATCCTTTGTAGTTATTGCAAGCCCATTAAACTAAATCTTCTAAAATAAGATTTTCATCAGTCACGCTATGTTTCTTGTTTGTTGTAATCCAAGGGACATATTGATGTGCTGGTGAAAGTGCATCAGTTTCTTCAGCTGCTGCTCGATGTAGCTTGTAACCTTAGTCACCCTGTATGTTTAAAATAATAATACATTTGCGCATTCTTTGACAGCAGTTCCTGAGATACCTAAATCGGCTGCACAGAGATTTGCAGCTTCGTCAAAACGAGTGTTTGTATATGGCTTGAATATTCTTCTGTCAATACAGATAGCCCATTAAACTTATAGGATTTCGTTGTCGGTAGGGTATTTGGATGCCAATATGCTTTAGCCACACAATTAGACATAATTTCCATAACATTCCACAGATCCATGTTGACAAGTGAATTGCCATTTTCCGGTAGTTTTATTAAATACTCTTTTAACGTTTCCATATGGTATTACTCTAATGTTGACCATCTGATCAATATCTGGAGTATCCACAGCCTCAGTCAAGGAATTGAGGAGGAACTCCATGCAATCGGGACACAATGACTCCGTATACACGTCAACAGATAATCTGCTTTAAGAAAAGGCAATTGTTAAAAGGAGGGCTAATCCTAAAATTTTCATTATTATAATAATGACGCAATCGTGAATTTCATACTTTGATTATTATTTTGTTCGTTAAATAAAATGCAATCAATATTAACTCAATGCGCTACACTTGATGAGGAGTTTGCAATTTTGGTTCCAATCATAGACAATATGGTTTAGGAATTGTCAGTGGTAATTAGAGAATTCGTTACTTCTAAATTGGAATTTCTCAAAAAATACTCAATTTCTCTTAAATCAAGCCAGATAGATGCTCGAATTCATCGAAACCAGCAGATTCGGAACCTCATTGAATATGTAAAAATGCATAGACAATCAAAAACTAAGTCAGTAAGTTAGATTTGTACAACTTAAAAAAAGAGACAAAAATTTCATACTGACTCTGGATGCTATTCTATCTAAAAGAGCTATTCAATATCTTGTTCCACTCTGTAAACAACAGAATTCAATGCAATTTCTCCTCAGTAGAATAACAAAAATATTACCACAAAAATACTTAAGTAACTTATTACTAAATAGAAAAAACATTAACAAAGAGCTAGCGAGTAAATATTTAAATTAATCAATAAATGCATGAATTTAATATCTGAGAATTCTCACCAATTCCCACAATACTCAATTTTGTTGGAAGAGTACAAAGCTCTAAAGAAAAATAATTCCTGTTTAGAATAAAAATTGAATTTAGAAGAAAAATCCTAATAAGTTAAAGATAATATCAAGAAGTTACTACAAAGTTAAGAGTCATTCAAATCTTACTTAAATTCAATTATTTGATTATTTATTTTGATAATTCAATTTCAGAACTGAATTATATGAATTACTACATCCTTTTTTAGTAATTTTGCTCATCTTTTTACTCTTATTTTAAATCTTTCACCTCTGTCACATTAATCCAACTTATCCATTTATCAAATAATCTTAAAAAGACCTTATAATTCCATTATTTAATAGAAATATATGAACTCATTCTAAACAAAATCTGGATGTTGGTTCAATTTCTATTTCTCCTATTATTAATCTGCTTGGTCAATTTTAGCCCAATTCATAAGATCTGATAATTTAGCTTCAATGTTGAAGAACAATAATTCCACTTTTCTTACGTAGAATAATTAATTTTTTTTAGCCAAATAATCTAATAACCTATATCATTGGAATTCAATAAAATTGAATTTAATTTTTTATTTCTTATAATTTGAAGTCTTTATTTTATATTATAGCAATAAGTACTATTAAAGTATGATTTAAACAATTTATATTTCTTCATTAATTTTTTCAAACTCTGCTATTTAAAAAAGGATCATAATTATTATTATTGATATTCTAAGATACATTAATTTACATAACGATATAGCATAAGTTAGTCTTTCTTTTCTTCAGAGCTTTTATATAAAACCAGATGAAATATAGAGGTTAAAAATAGAACAGAATAAGAAGTAATCGTAATCAACAATAGCATACAATAATGCTATCAGAACAGAAGAATATTACTTGATAAATCTATTACTAATGTACTATGAATAGAGAAAAACTCATTTTTTCTTTTATTCGACCTTCTTAACATAAAATTCTAGTTCCTTTCCTTCAAGAATGTAACCATCGGCTCTGCCAGATTGTCCTGGTCTTGATGTGATTCTGACTAGAAGTCTTTGATTTTAGAATTATTCAGCAACTAAATTATCAATAACTCTATCCTTCAATCTGGCTTCTAGTTTCTTTTTTAATGAGTTTGATTTCTTGACTTCTTGAGGTGCTGGTTAGTCCTAGGAGAGTAATTAAACAATTTTACCTTCTTTTGAGTCTTTTTGGCTCCCAAATCGATGTTGTATTTCTTTAAATAAAATTGTTTGAATGGTGTAGCATCGACTTACACAATGACACCTCTGGTGAGTGTTTTGGTTCTGACTAATTCATTATTTGATGGATGATAAACAACTTCGACAATCTTTGCTTTTTTTGCAACACCTTCACTAGCCCAAGAGAAGTTTCCATCGGATAAACGAAGAGCTCTGAATTTGAAGTTTCCTCCTCGGACTCTCAATCTTCTAACTCTCTTTTCGCCAGATACCAATTTAGTCATAGCAGCTTGTCTTCCTTTCTCGAAAGCTCTCTTCTTCTTATGGATTGGCATACGACCACCTGTGAGTCTTCTTTTGTGTCTGCTATCTCTTGAAATACCCATGAATAATAAAAAAAGATTTTATTTAATTTCAAATAACCACACATATACGCTTATTTAATATAATTATGAAACAGAATATGACACCCTCCTATTAGATAATGGATCGAATTGGTTTCATCAAGAATATGATATCCACTCATTAAAAAAAACTCATCACCGAACCTAAACGTAGTTCCTCCTATTTAGAAACCACTTAGACTGAAATTGTTAGACGAAGTAGAGATTCATTTCATAAATAATAAAGTCATTTGAATGAAACATCTGCATCTGATTATTTAAGTATACAAGAAAGTGCCAATGTCAGATTGTTAAGAGAGGAACTCAAAATAACCAAAGGTTTATTGGATAAGCGATCAATTGAGTTGAATCAATTATTGTAAGACAATCAAGGACTTAGATCAGATACGGTCTAATTGAAAGAAGAAAATGAAGAATTAAAACATCAATTAAAGAAGGTTGTAAGAGAGAAAGAAGATTATAGAGAAGAAT